ATATCATTTTTTTATTATAAAAATATATGTTTACCTGCTGGTCCCACCATTTATATCCGTTCCCTTTCATTTTTATTTTTCTTTCCTTTTCATACTTTTCCCTTTGATTCGGTGCGCGCATATCCTTTAGCTGACCAATTGAACAATGTTAACTGATATCTCACAAAATTTAGCTCACGTAATTAAGAGAATTATTTAATTCATCAAAATATAAAAACAGAGAAAAACACTAACACAATACCTTTTGATTTCAGAAATTAGAATTATTTATTCCTTGTATTTAGTTGTGTTCTTATTCAGCGAGACTCAACTCAACTTTAAAGCACAAACTAGTAATATGTATACTATAATTGTACGAATATATTTAAATGTATGTAAAATATAAATTAAAAAATAATATTTGAAATTATACAGTTGACATGTATAATTAATAAAAAATTAAATTTAAAATTTATATGAAGAAAAATTAATGATATATATATATATATATATATATATATATATATATATATATATATATATATATATATATATATATATCATTCTTTAAGGAAAAATATACTAAAATTTTTAGTCATTTGAAAAACCAAAAACTCTAATTAAATATATAAGAATGAAATGTAGGCTTTTTCACCTTTTTGCCCCGTATTAATTAATTAATAATCATTTTGCCCCTGATTCGAAATTATCTACCAATCTGCCCCTCTTTAATCGACTACCTTGCATTTTTAATCGACTAAATGGCCAAAACAGGCAAAAATGGCTGTTGGGAGATTTAGTCGACTAAATCTCCCTATTTAGTCGACTAAATCTCCAACAGACAACAAAGGAAAACAAGTCGGTATGATTTTTTAATCGATTAAGTAGGGAGATTTAGTCGACTAAATCTCCCAACAACCATTTAGTCGATTAAAAATGCAAGGTAGTCGATTAAAGAGGGGCAGATTGATAGATAGTTTCGAATCAGGGACAAAATGGTTATTAATTAATTAATGAGGGGTAAAATGGTCAAATAGCCGTGAAATGTAACTCTCATTAAACATACAAATGTCAAGGTAAAGATAATATATGTTATTAATATTTCTCCAAAGAGAATGAAATTCCAATTAATTAATGCCAACACTAATGTCTATTTTAATATGTCGTTCCCGTCTACGTACGTAATCGTTATGCAAAGCTATGTGATTGGTATAGCAGGATAATAAATAATCATATTGAAGGACCACAACAAATAGCATGTGAAAATGACAATGGAGATATACAAACAATAAAAAAGACAAGACACAACATTAATTAATAATGCAATGACAATATACACTAAAAGAGATACCGAAAGCAAAATAATAATTGGTTTAGTCATGGGCGAATTGAGTCGGGTTAGCAAGTGCTTTCGCCCCTAGGCTCAGATTTTAAAAATTATATTTAAATATCAAATAGTTGAAATTTAAACTTTTAATTTTCACAAAGATTTTATCCCTTTACAAAATTTTTTGAGTCAGCCACTCATTTTAAGATTAATTTAAATTCATATGTCACACACACAAAGAGTAAACTTACACTCTTTTTTTTCTTTTTCTTTTTGGTGTAGTTTGTTTTTATACTATTACACTATTGTGATACACTTGGCTTTGATTAAAAATGAGTGTGGTCCTATTTACCAAAAAAAAATTAAAAATGAGTGTGGTCCTTGTGATTTTTTTTAATAGGCAAGACTATTAATGATCTAATCACGATAAGGAATTTATTTTTTAGCCTAAATTCTTATTTTCATCGTTAAAAAAATACAAACATTGTTATTATCTACTCGCCACGTCATTGAGGATAACTAAAGAACTAAACAATAAGGTATTTTAAATTATAGAAATATTAAATCAACCAAAATTAATAAAATTTCTTAAGTTTAAAGTAATGATACTAAGATTATTTTCCTATTAAAACAAAGGAAAATTATAAATTGAAAATATCTATGATTGGCTTAGTATTTTAAGCCATATTATTCAATTTACATAAATTATAATCCTAGGTTAGTTTTTTTTAAGCTAAATTGGCTTAGTATTTTAAGCCATATTATTCAATTTATATCGATGATCGACTCAGTTGCGATGTTGAGTTAATAAATTATTGATTTAATCAGTAGATCATTAGTTGAATTGTTTGAACAAAATTTATATAATAAATATAAAAATTAAAATAATTATATCACATATATACATGATTTAGTGGTTAAACCTACTTTTCTTGATATTAGGTCACATAGTTTTAATTCATAGAATTAATTTTTTTTTAAATTTCAAAATTTGGTTCAAAATTCCATGGTAATTTAATAGCGGTTAAAGGCAAAAAAATTAATTTATTGTTTTTTTAATAAACATTTACGAAAATGTAGTCGTTTTGAAATTAATTACGAAAATATAGCAGTCAAACACGCCCACATGGGACGTGTTCCAATAAAGACAAACACGCCCATGTGGGGCGTGACCTAAGCGTGAGTCACGCTCACATGGGGCGTGACCAAGTTGGAGAAAGACACGCCCCATCTGGGCGTGACCGAGGAGACAGACACGCCCAATCTGGGCATGACTGAGGAGAGAGACACGCCCCATCTGGGCGTGTTTCACCAGGTGCTGTCACGTGTCACAAAAGTCAATAATTTGACCATAAAACTTTAGAAGTCCATAACTTTTGACTCGGGTATCCGAATTAGGTAATTTTTTTTTGATTCCACATAACTTTTCGAGATCTACGTAATGACACATCATTTGGCATATTTTGTCTCTCAAAAAAAAAATTAAATTTACAATAATACCATAATTATTAAAAATGATACCATAATTATTAAAAATGACACGACTTTGTTACCTTATAATTAATACTAAAAATAATCTAACATTTTTATAATCATGAACAAAAACTTAAAAATCAAAATAAAACGAAAAGCACTCACTTAACTTTTTAATATAAATTATTCGATATTCTGTCACCGATAGATGTTAACCGAATAAAATTATAAATTTCATAAAATTCTTCATTCAAATTTTTAATATATATCTCAATAACATACATAATTAACCTTATCATAACTTACCATAATCATAAGGATCTTTATTATGAATGTTTCTAATCATAACAGTAGTTTTCTGCTTATTAATTTGAGTTTAAACGTTCTTATGATATTATTATTATAAATTCAATTTTTTTTGTGAGACAAAATATGCCAAATAAAGTGTCATTACGTAGATCTCGAAAATTTATGTGGAATCAAATTTTTTTTACCTATTTCGGATACCCGAGTCAAAAGTTATGGACTTCCAAAGTTTTACGGTCAAACTGTTGACTTTTGTGACACGTGGCAGCACCTGGTGAAACACGCCCAGATGGAGCGTGTCTCTCTCCTCGGTCACACCCAGATTGAGCGTGTCTCTCTCCAACCGGTCACGCCCCTATGGAGCGTGTTTCACTGCTATATTTTCGTAATTAATTTCAAAACGACTAATTATTTATAATTTTTTATTAAAAAAATAATAAATTAATTTTTTTTGCGAGCGGTTAAAACCGTTAGACCTGCTGGTCCGATCCGATTAGGCTCTAATAACATTATTTTTTGGGAAAAAAATTTTAAGGTTATAAATTGGGGAGTTCTATGTTACTCTTACTCCCAAGGAAAATTTCTCTCGTTAAGTGATAAGATATGTGAAAGGGAAAAATTAATGTGATAAATTTTTTCTTACATACCTTTTGATAATTGTGCCATCTTTTTTTTTTTAGGTAGTGGAACTCACAAGTTTATTTCTATGTCATGAGATAACTTATCTCCTTTAACATAGTTAAATCATTTGGTTAATACATTATTTTCTATAAATAATTAAATCAATTGAGTAAATAATTAAACCAGTTTGATATTTAATAAAAAGATATATGTATCCTAGATGGGGCTAAGATTGTGCAACTAGGCTCAGAGCTGCATTTGCGGCTTGTTGAGAATTCATTACTGTGTAAACAGTATAGAGCAATAATGCTAATGGTGAATTACTCAATTCGTAAAATTGAATAGATTTAAAACATGTTTTCTTCTTAAAATGTAACAATCTATTATTACATTTTTTTAACTTTTTGATAAAGGAAAATACAATATAACAACAACTAAGCCTAATCACATTATATAAAATTGATTTCATTTTATTTTTTAAAAATGATTACTTTGATCTGGGACGTTTGGTATGAGAGATATATTTTATTTTACCGAGAGAAGAAGACTGTTAGGAATGTGGTAAGAATTTTTTTATTCCGGAAAAGTTACAAAAAAATGTTTGGTTGGCCAAAATTTTGCCAAGAAAGTTGAGTTAATTTTACTAATGTTATGTTTGGTTGATGATAAAATATTGATAGGAATATGAATGAAAATTATCAAAATACCCTTAATTTTTTGAATATGCGAAGTGAATCAAATGTTATTTTTTGAGAATCCAACATCAAGGAAAAAAAATACCAAAGATTAAGTGGGAAAAAAATTAACCTTTGTGTAGTTCAAAAGAAAAATATGGGATAAAAAAATTTGCTGACATTTTATTTACTTTTTGAATATGCGAAGTGAATCAAATGTTATTTTTTGAGAATCCAACATCAAGGAAAAAAAATACCAAAGATTAAGTGGGAAAAAAATTAACCTTTGTGTAGTTCAAAAGAAAAATATGGGATAAAAAAATTTGCTGACATTTTATTTACTTTTTCACTGTTCCATACACCCCCCCCCCCCCCCCAATACTCGTACCAAACACCCGCATCATTGAAGTTTGTAAAAAAAAAATCAAATCTACGCATGAAGCTTTGTTTTATGCAAAAAAGTAGAGTACGGTCAGATAATAAAAAATAACAAGAAAAATCTAGAAAGAAATCATATGATTTCAGCTAGAGAGAGAGAGAGATGCAGAGTGGCATAGTGACCTATATAAAAAGTAGTTCAACACTACCATTTGTCATGCTAAGAACTTCTGTAGTTTAAAATGGATTTTTTCTTGCAATCCTTATTACTAATTTTCATAACCTTGATTGCATCTATCTATGTTTTCCAGCAAAGAAAACCAGGTGGCTCTAAAAACTTGCCTCCAGGTAGTTTTGGGTGGCCTCTAGTGGGTGAAACCTACCAAATTTTGTTCAAAAAGATTGAACATTTCCTTCAAAAGAGGGAAAAAAAGTACTCCTCAGAGATCTTCAAGACAAATTTACTAGGAGAGCCAACAGTTGTTCTTTGTGGTCCTGGTGCAAACAAATTTGTCTCCATGAATGAGCCTAAGCTTATCAAAGTTTGGTACTTGAAAACTCAGCGCAGGTTCTTCAATCTTCCTGATCAGAAACATGCAGCTATGCCAAAACAAGCAGCAGTAGCTGCAGCTCCAGTGAAGATCTTGGGGTTTCTGAAACCTGAAGGACTAGTTAGGTACATGGGGAACAACATTGAGTCCATCATAAACCAACACTTCTTGACACATTGGGAAGGAAAAACAGAACTTAAGGTGTACCCTTTGGTGAAAGCCTTTTCCCTTACACTGGTCTATCAATTCTTCTTAGGCATTGATGAACCCCATCATATACCAAAATTTGCTAGCAAGTTTGACAGCTTGTATTCTGGACTTTATTCTGTTCCTGTCTCTCTCCCAGGCTCTACATATAGTAGGGCACTGAAGGCTGCAGATGCAATTCGGAAAGATATCCAGTTTCTGATCAAAGAGAAGATTGATGCTTTTTCCAAGGGGCAAGTTATGGATGACCTACTAGCACACATAGTTGGTGCAGAGCAGGGTGGAAAATATGTGCCAAAAATTGAAATAAGCAACATCATGATGGGATTGATGAATTCCAGCTACACACCAATAGCAATTACACTGGCTTTCATGATCAAACATATTGGACAGAGGCCTGATATCTACCAAAAAATTGTATCCGGTAATGTAATATAGCAATTATAATATATATATATATATATATATATATATATATATATATATATATATATATATATAGTGTTCGGATCATTTTACACCAGTATAAGTTACACTCTTAATCTTGTTCGTTGATCCTATTTATATCTAATGGTTCTTATTTTTTAGATATTTGAATCGTTAGATACAAACAAATCAATGATCAAAATGTGGTGTAAGATTTTTTATTTTTATACCGGTGTAAGAATATCTTACCCTATATATATATATATATGGGGTAGGTTATATTTACAAACTTTTTTGTTTACAAACTCTTACAAACTACACTATGTTCTTCCCGGAGAACATAGTGTAATTTATAAAAAAAATTCAAAAAAATTTGTAAATAGATCCTTCCCCTATATATATATATATATATAGAAGAGGTTATACTTATAACTCTTTTTTCCTTATAATCTCTTATAGTTACATGTATTATCGTTGGATCAAAATTAAATTAACAGTTACAATATGATATCAAGTGAGAGCTATTGATTTCATTTTGATCCAACAATAATAAAGATGGTTGTAAGAGGTAGTAGTAGAAAAGAAGTTATAAATATAATCTCCTTTAAAAGTAGTGTGTGATAAAAACATTATTTTGGTTTTAAGCCACGAGATTTCACTTTGTGTTTCTGCCTCTCTCTTTTGGGACCCAAAATGCAACTTTATAACCAAATTAGAAATGGCTAACATGCTTCATAACCAAAATATAAGGGCAGTGACAAAATATATATTATATTCTGCTTCCTTTTATTTGAATCAGAACATGCTGATATTACAAAATCAAAAGGATCTGGTACTGCTCTAGATTGGGACAGCATACAGAAATTGAAATACACATGGGCTGTTGCACAGGAGACCATGAGACTCTACCCAACTGCACCAGGAGCATTCAGAGAGGCTGTATCAGATTTAACCTATGAAGGTTTTACTGTTCCAAAGGGATGGAAGGTACCTCGATCTCATGATAGATTATTAGGAAATTTATATACATGTAAATTAGCTTGTAAATTAAATTTGTTACTAACTTTTTGGTCAATTTATACTTTGACAGATTTTTTGGGCAATTAGTGGAACAAACAAGAATCCCAAGTACTTTCATGAACCTGAAAGTTTTGATCCCTCAAGGTTTGAAAGTAATGTTCCTGCTCCATACACTTACATACCCTTTGGAGCTGGACCTAGATCTTGCCCTGGAAAGGACTACACAAGATTTGTGATTATCACTTTCATTCACAATCTTATAACCAAGTTCAAGTGGGAAGTTATGCTTCCTGATGAAAAAGTATCTGGTGCTTTGGTACCTCTCCCAGCAGAGGGAATTCCTATCCGTCTTCATCACTTCTAAGTCTTCATGAGTGCTTATACTGTGAAAATGAAGTGTAAAAATTCTAATAAGAAATCTTCGGGTTCATAGTTTATCTATCAGCATATATAGATTATATAAATATATGTTCATTATAGTCATAATAAAAGTGGTAGTACAATTTCAATATGTAATTGAGGTAATAGAATGAGAATATTATCTTCCTTGTACGTTAATGTATTCTTGTCATTTTCTAGAGGGAGGGGACCAAAAAAAAGATAATGTTAAGTATCTATTAGCACTTAACATGAATACATAGCTCGAAAGGAAGTTAATAAAAAAAAAAATGCAATTAAGTCGTAGTCCATCCGTATAAATCATAATAAAAGAGTAGTTTATATCAATCAACAGTACTATTGGACCATTGGTCCCGACCCTGGTATGTATTTTTGTGGCAACATCTGAATTTAATTGTTATTGAAAGCAGCGTGATTAGTAGTCAACTAATAATCCACATTCGGCAACGATATACTGGACCACAAATTCATAAACCAAAAGCGACAATGTACAACAGTACGTAAGATAACCCTAAAGTCCCCGCCAGACCATAACATGCATTAATGAAAAGGAAGAGAATGCACATCCAGAAGCATAATCAACGAAGAAGTAATAAACAAGAGACAACAGAAGATACAACTCGTGCATTATACACGTCTCTTATTTTCTAGACATTCATGTGGTTGAATTATTCACGATTGCTACATGCTTCTATCTCGATTAATTGGTATGACATGACACTTACGTTACATTTATACAGATTTTATTATTTGATAACTTATCTCACCAAAACTTCTGCATACATGCATGTATTCTGAGGCTACCAGATGATACGAGATGTGAACCTTTTATTAACGTATATGTAACATGCATTTTCCGTTTTTAAAAGGGAGTTCTATTAATATTGGACAATACCTTAGTTTACTTAACCGCCTTAAATTCGTTATTACAATAGGAATGTATTGAGTCCAGTCACGTATAAATTACAATGTATTCTAATTATAAAAGTAATGCTCATTTGCACGGTAAAACATAAAAAGTCATATTCTCACTGTTTCACTATTAAATGTAGAACGTGTGGCCTTGCTGTTTCATTATTCTCTAGAGTAATGTTACACACATACTATTATAATTTGTCAAGATAATCGATAGTTAATTAAGATATGAATCACTTATATTAGCTATTCAAAGGTTAATAATAATATCAACTCATTCTAACCAAAAAATCTTCCAACATAATTGACTATATAGTAATTATTTTTCTCTTTTTTTACTTTTGTACGACCACCAGATTTCGTATTCCTGGAAGTCCATCGGTTGTTCCAACCATAAATTTTTAATTAATATATTCCAATCAGTGTTATAAAAACAAACCTGAAAGAATTGAACCGGTTCAACCAATTGACCTGTAAACCACTGTTTAAAAACGCAGCCTGACTATCGACAAGCCGAGGCTAGGGGTCACGGACTCACGGGTTCAATCGAAGGATCATGAAGTTACTTCGCTGACTCGATTTTATACATTAAAAAAATATAATATATCATATATGAAAAATTCAAAAAATTCAAATCACCAATCATAAAAAATTCAAAATATACTTAACTTAATTCAACTAATTTCATCCATAAATCAATATTACACAAGCTAATTAAAGTATCAAACTATCAAAGTATAAAACACATATTCCAATGAAGTTAATAAAAAGTTATATCATCAAACTTAGGCCCTCCTTGTCCTTCTCACGCACCTACAACAGAATGTGATAGGAGATCTATTACCCAAGAGAGAACGGCGGAGGAGAGGCGACGGTGTTACGAATCAATGATGGCGAGAGAAGAATCAGCACGACGAAGGAGAGGGGGAGAGAAGATCGAAGAGGATAGGAGGAGATAACCGGATCTGGGTCTGGGAGAGAAGATTTGAAGAGAAGAAGAAGAAGAATGATTCATATTTCAGATCTAGTTCTAGATCTTGACAGCAACGAGTTTTTGTTTTTTTTTTTCCACACAAAATGACGTCTTTTGTGTGTAATTTTTTTTTTTTTAAATTGCTCTGACCCGAGAGTCACAAGTTCAACCGGGAGATTTTGGGAGTCAAAGGGGTCAACGTTCATGTAGAGTCTAACTATTGACCCAACCCTTAGAGAGAAAGGGTCAGTGCTCCAGCTAAGTCGACCCCGGAGCAGGGTGGAGTTTTAAGTTTTAAAACACTGCTGTAAACTGGACTCGTAACTGGTTCGGGTTAGGTATTGGACTAGTTATTCATTTGACCCAGTATGAAATCGGTGAATTGATCCTGAATCGGGTTCAATCGGTATTAAACCAGCACCAGTTTTTTTTAAAAATTGATTTTGTAAAATTTTGGACAAAATGCTTGAAAAATATCAATAAAGAGATTCAAACCTAGATCATATAAAATATAATTTATAGCACTTCTCACTAAACCAATTCTAATTATTAGCTAAAATGCTTTTAATTTTATATTTATTATACTAAAATGCTTTTAATTTTATATTTATTAGATTTATTTATTTCATGAAATTAAACTAGTAACTCATTAATTAAACCGGTGACTCATTTATTCAAAATCTCAACCGAATCGATGACGTGATAACTCTAATTCCAATAATGGCAATTTTTGTTTTTTGTTTTTTTCCCCTTCTAATAATAGCAAGAGGTTTAGACTTTTAATTCATATATTGTAGCCTATCCAAATCCTTCAGCACTAGCTGACTTCTGATAGCTTAACATTAGTTTATTTACATCAACACAAGACACACTCTTGGCTTATAATGACGATAAGGAAAGAATCAAAAGATAGAGGAGCCATATCATAGCCTCGCCATTATATTATTGAATCATATTATGTGGTCAATACATGTAACGAATGAACTACCACCACCTAATCACAAACTACACAATACCAAATCACTATGAGTGAAAGTAGTAAAAATAAAAAATAAAAATTTCAGCCCCTCTTTCTAAGATAGGAATAGAAGTGCAGCTGACATGAATGCTGCTGGGGTTTCTTCTAGTCTTGTGCTATGTTAGAATTCTAAATAATTCAGTATACTGCATTTGGAATCCCATAACCATCACGATGAGACTTCTGCCATCTCCATGCAATCTGCAAACTCTCTTGAAGAGTGTGCTTTGCACTCCAATTCAATTCACGTCTAACCTTTGATGGGTCACTATACACCTCAGCATAATCACCAGGACGACGAGGAAGGAAGTCTACTTTGATATCCACACCAGTGGCCTTTTTACAAGCTTCCACAAACTCCTTCACTGAACTACCTGATAAACAGAACCACCATCATGAGAACCTTGAGTCATCTAAGAAATATGCTAAGCTAATTTTACTACCCAAAAAAATTAAAGCATACATTCATAAATAGTATATTTAACCTACCCTTTCCGGTGCCAACATTGTAGATCCCAACTTTACCAGATTGTGCCTTTTCAAGAGCTTTCACATGAGCATCAACAAGGTCAGTTACATCAATATAATCTCGTACGCAAGTTCCATCAGCTGTCTTATAGTCTGTCCCTCTAACCTGCAAAGTAACAAAGAACACATGCAATGAGCACGCTTCTTCCATGTACTGCATGAATTTGACATTATTGAATGAGTTTTCAACATAATCAACTAGACGGCTTTCAAGGAGGTTTCAAATGACTGAATAACATTGAAATAAATAATTATTCCTGACACACGATTTATATGTACTGGAGAATTAAATTGTTTATGCTTCTCTAAACTGAAAACAGAAATACATATAAAACGGACTTAGATGGCCAAGGTCTTTCCAAATTTTGTAAAGGAGCTTATAAAACATAATTTCTTTCTTGGTAGAATTATAAAATAACATTTATCTAACAAGATTATCTATAAAAGAAATGCAATTACAAAAACCTTTAAAGGATAACATGAGCACAAAACAAATTTGGAACGAAGCTTATGACTAAGCCAATATCTTGCATGAATACTAAAGCAGCCATAATTAACCCAACAGCTATAAAGTTTTTCTCTTCAAAGAAAACCTGTACATTATTCCTGATATAAAAAATTTCAGTTAAACCCTAATATTCTAGACCAAAAGCATGGAAAATAGAAGAATTATCAAGAATTTGATAACTACTTAAAATATAGCAGCTTAAATTGGTTGCCTCTTATTGGTTGGTTCTCACGCACTGCATCAAATATACCCTGCCAATCTCCTCCAACAAGAGGGATTTTGTAATCTCATACTTCTGTAACGAATTCCGTTTTAGTCAAAAATAAAAATGAAAATATCAGCATACCTTTAAACCAGGTATAATACCACGAGCTGCATCGAAGCAGGCACCTGATATTCGACCTTGCTCTCGGAGTTCAGGTCTTGGAGCCTCACCCAATCTTCCCTCAGGGTCTGATCCAATCACATTGAAGTACCTGGTAATTTCCCAATGAGAAATTATCAATAATTACCATTTACCAGCATAGCTAATTCTGAAATATCAAGTTCCAGTGATTGTCTATAAAGGAGGAACTTGATATATATACCAACAAAAATGTAATTCGTTTTCCTTTTGGTATATGCCAATAAATCTTTTTCTCATATAAAAGAACATGTCTGGAAGCTCACAAGATTTATTGAAATATCATGTTCCAAACTGTATATCAACAGTTCAAACAGCATGAAGTGGACAATTTTGTTATGCCAGTAAATACAACAAAAATATTATTCATTATCCTTTTGATATATATATACAAATAAATCTTTTTCTCATATAAAGGAACATGTCTGGAATCTCCATAAAATCTTCCCAACAAACCAAATCACAATATTAAAAACAAGGAAAAGAACAGAAAGAGACAGAAATCAAAGAGAAATATGCATTGATTAAATGGATCCATAACACAGCTATGGAAGCCCTCTTGCAAGGTTTCTATATATTTCAGAAATATTAAGAATCACTTATAGCTTAAGCAGCAAAGGGCACATGGAATAAGATAAGTATAAGCTATTTTTTTTTTGATAACAAAGTATAAGCTATTTAAAATGTAGGGAAAATGTAAACGTAAAATACAAACCTCAAAATCATTACTGCCATGTCTGAATTTCTAGAAAAATCAAGGATGATATCTTCTGCCATCTTCTTGGCTTTCCCATATGGATTAATTGGGACCTGATATATTGAACATAGATTTTAATACTAAATTTCCACAAGCATTAAAGCCAATTCAGGATGCAATGAAAAAGCATAAATGCTATCAACCGATCCCCATGATTCAACTACCGTTAGATTGCCCACCTGCTTAGTTTCTTCTGTAATGGGCATCTTCTCAGGCTCCCCATATGTTGCACATGTACTTGAATATATCAATGTCTTGACATCATGTTTAGCCATAGACTCCAATACCAACAAGGTATTTGATGTAATATTGTGATAATACCTGACAAACATGCAAATTAGAAAGAAAATAAATAAAATAAAACTGAAGTAGATGAATCCAACCATTATGTAATTCTCGCAACTACATTTTGATCCAACTCTGGACAGAACCATAATGTATTTCTTAGAGTTGCAAATATGGGTTCACTCTCAAAGTAAAATTCTGAATTTGGTTGAATAGTATACAGTGATTTCCCCGACAGCTTTTGATCCTCTTGATATTTTTAGAGATGTCCCAACTTATCTATCCCTAGTCTGGTATTAATTGCAAACATTATATCAAAAACTACTTTGTGTTTGCCTTTGCGTGACCTTGAACTTTAAATAGAAAATAATATTATACCCAATATATTATCAGAAACACACACATATCTAGCATCACAATTTCTGTGTACCAATGTGTGACTTTATTAACAAAGCCAAGACCATACTAGAAATCTCTGTACCAAATTTCAAATGTTGTTGAAAATGTCAATTTTTATCTAAAAATACAATGTGATTTGTGCTACTTAGACATAGATGGAGAAAATTAGAAACTGAACACAAGTGCTACTTTCCACAACTTCAACTGAGACTAATGTCTGAATAAAATCCAGAAGTACTTACTTAAGAGGATCCGTAGTGCTTTCTCCTACATATGCAACGGCAGCAAAGTGCATCACGGCATCAAATTTATTCTCAAGAAAAATTTTATCAACCTGATAACCAGTCAAGTAAACAATCTTTCTTGGGCTTTACCCACATATGCTTCAATAAAAGTAAAATTGTGACACCAAAATATTTCTTGTACAAAGAATGTAAGGATACAGATTTTGCATCTCCCAAGTCAGCGTATATAAATTGAAGCCTTCCAGCCTCTGGAAATAATTCTTGAAGAACCTTGATGGCACCCAAATTTCCTCGTGACAAATTGTCCTGCCAGAAAGAAAAATTGTTATGCCTGTAGCAACACACTTATCAGTCCATTTGACTATATCAAAGAACCATTCCATTTTATTTATAGACATACTACTACGGTGACACGATAATTATCCTTTAGAAGTCGTAGAGCAGCATGTGAACCAATATAGCCTGCACCCCCTGTTACTAAAACATGAGTAACCCCAGGTTCGTGAAAGGAAAACTGAAAAGGAGAAAAAGAAGAATTAGCTAGATAAATAAAAGAGAAAAAGTACTGTAGATTTGAATACATAAATAACCAGAAAATTGGATTCAGCGAGAGAAGAAAATTACGGTTGAAATAAAATCTCACATGAATATATATAGTGGGGGATGATCAACTTACACAAGCATAAGTCATAAATCTATTATTAGTTATTGATCGCACCTGCATCTAAAGGCTCAAATTTATTAGTCCCGTGAGCTATTAGATGCAAGTGAAATCAACCACTAATAATATTAGATATACACTTGTGTAAGTTCATCCTCTCCTTATATATATATATATATATATATATATATATATATATATATATATAGAGAGAGAGAGAGAGAGAGAGAAGGGGGGGGGTCATTTTAAACCTATATAAGAGTAAAATAAAAAGTCTTATACCAAATTCTAAGTGTTGATCTACTTGCATTTAATGGTTTAAATTTATTTGTCAAGTGGATTATTGGATTCAAGTGGGATCAATGGCTAAAATTGAGATTGCAGCTTACATTAGTATAAAATGATCCTACCTCTATGTGTGTGTGTGTACACCCTCTATCTTTCCTTTCACTATTTTCTTTCTATCTTTGTCGTATCTCTCTAAATGCCAATTAAACATACCCAAGCATTCATTCTTTAGCAGGATAAACGGTAAAAATAGTCCATCATCTATATCAGAGATCTACAATTTTAAGGTATCTTTCAAAAGGTAAAAATTAAAAAGCCAAAGAAAGTAAACAGGACTTGTATATCTGTTCTGTTGTAGGAACAGTTGTTATAAGAACTACTCAAGAAGCATTATCTTCATACATTTCAATATTATCCATACACAAGTAGAAAGATGGAAACTTAACTACATTTGATAAGTTCAGTTAACTCAACAAGAATACATTAGTGTTAGTGTGTGACTCCCCCCCCCCCCCCCCCTCTCTCTCCCCAGCAAAATAAGATTGCACCAAAACTATCCATACATAAATCACATTGAACAACAACCACAACAATCAAGCCTCATTCCACTAGGCCTCATTATGCAGTAGATATCTCAAATCTCAATGGCCTAATAAATGTCTCTTCTATGATCCTACACAATCAAATAAAATGTCACAGATCATTGCTGTTAAAAAAAATAAAGATTGTATTTACATGTGTAACATGGTTTATACCTATGTCTTCAAAGTCAAATTTAGATTGTTATGTACAAATGTATTATAACACCAAATACAATAAACACTATAAGGGGTCAACTTGTATACTACCTCCAAAAAATGCAGTACCATACTCCCTTTTTTGAAATTATAATTGAGTAACAAAAGCTAGAGACTAAGTACTAAATGTCTGTCATTTCAAAAAGATAGTATGATACTCCTTTTTTGGGAGGGAGTACCAAAGTGAATCCCAAAATATAATCTACAGATACAACAAACATAACAGCTGCACATACGTATATAGGTTGAACATGGTAATGGTGTATAGGCATTTTAATGGTATCAATGGCTATAGGGATTACCGGACTAGGGGGATTCAAAGATGGAGATCGCTTGATCATGATGATGCATAGTGCCGTTAATGCAGCAGCAAGAAAAACTTTTCCAACAAAATTGCCCTTCCTTTTTGGATCCACATAATCCATGCCTAAAAGACAGAAAAACACAAACAAGAGAAACTACATTTTCAAACACCACTTATATGACATATATATATAAACACACATGAAATAAATAACAGAACTTTGACAATTATGAATTTACAAACACCTTATTTTGTCATATAACTGCGTCCAGACTATCCAAAAGTGATAAAAAAGGTAAAAATTTCCCATCCAATTTTCAAATTGGTTAATCCTTTAAGTAACCAAGATTAATTCAAGGAAAAGAAGAAGAAGAAGAAGAAAGAGAGAGTTGGTCATACCAACATTCAAGCTAAAATTTGAAGGACAGAATCTTACCTCCCATTGAATTAGGTCTGGTTGCCCTTGGCTGACTTCTGGACCTGACAAAATTTAGCATTGGCAGAATCCCTATTATTTAGAGTGGTGAATAAGGTTTTACTCCTTAATTTCAATGATCAAATGTTGCTCCGCTCCCCAGACAGATCTTGAGAGACAAGCTGCAGAAGTAAGAACCAGACCACGTAAGATGTTTTCTTTTCTAGAATGGAAAAAGAACAAAAAAAAATATGGTTGATCCCCGAATCCACAGAAAAGGAAAAAGGATTGACAGTGAATCAAAAGAACCAAAAGGAGGGGAGCAAATTAAACTAAAGAAAGAACATATAATTCAAATGACCATAAAACTTTTGGAAATGAAAAAGAACCCCTGCAATTCCCAAACAAAAATGGAAATCATAGAGCTGCTGGATGAAATAGAGGGTATCCAGAATTCTGAGATACGCAGCAACCAGCAGAAGAAGAAACCACTAAATGATTGTAAGAAAAAAAAAAAAAACACACAATCGCTATTAAAGTCAGGCTCTGCACAATTCACAAAACTAATAAACGATATGCAAATCAATTGTTTGTGAAAGCATTAAAGACAAAGGAAACAGGGGAAAAAAGAACACCCGTCCGCAGAGGACCACATCCAATTTAAGCTACAACAACGAATGAGAAAAAAGCTTCAAAAATTCACAGAACACCCCAATAGGCAATAGCAGGAAGGAACAGAACAAATCCAGAAGACTCCACAGTTTCAAGATCCAGCACATAATAAAATTAAACAAAAACCCATCATTAACTGTTTAAGTACGATCAAACTTCCAACACACACAATCCCGCGATATTTTCAGAAAACAAAAATTAATTGGAAGCTCAGATAACGCTAAAAAAATGGTTGAGCAGCACCGACCGAAAACCCAAAACCGTCACAACAGTTATTTCGAAGGAAAAGCAACGAAAACAGAAAAAACATCAGCTTTCACAGTTACCCACAATACCATAAGATCTTAAAAGGATTACCCAAAAAAAATTGAATACAAGGGGTTCTGAAAATTAATAAAAACAAAAAATAATAATAAAATGATAATAGGAAAATGTGTACCAGAAGGAGATGGTGAAGAGAAACTGAGAGAAAATGGAAAGAGAATGCGAGAAAACGCAAACGAATATGTAAGGTGGAAGGGGTCCAGAATTGTGGGGTGCTGTTGAAATTTGATGTAGAGAGAGAAAGAAGTGAGAGGGAGGGAGAGAGAGAGATAGAAGCGGAGAGTTCTGTGCGTGAAGTCCATGTTGTCAAAGTGTTAGAGGCGGAGAGACCGGACCGTGGATGAAACAAACAACATCGTAAAATTTCATTTTTCATTTTTTTTTTCTTTTTTAATTAATTTTATTTTTTTAATAAATAAATAATAAAAATATGGTCGGGAGGTGAAACTTGAAAATGAAACACCTTTATGAATGTCCAATCATGTGCTACCATTTGTTGTGTCCTTTGCGCGGCGACTGCGGGACTTGATCTTTGTGAAATTACATTACAATCTGCATGCCATTATGCGAGGTTGCGTCCTGCCACTTTGGGACCTACGTGTTTTTGCTAAATTCAACTTTTTATGTGGACCTATTTATTTGAATTGCGTCTTTGTTCCATTTCAAAATAATTAATCATGATGTTTATGCTTATTCTTTGCATAACTGCACTCTGTTTCCGATTATGATGTAGTATTTTTTTTCCACATATATAAATAAGGTGATTTTATCAGTATTTTGAAATTTTTCTATTTCGTATAAATATGGATTAATATTTTGTATTTACATCACGTCATATCTCATCAAATTAATACCAAATTCATCTAATAAGGTGCCTAGATCTTGACTTTAAAATCTTAATTTTGGATGTATCCCGAATAAGATTGTCTTTCATAAGAAAATACTTGTGGTTTATAAAAAAAAGTATCATATATATTGTAACGTATCGGAGTTTAGATGTTTTTATTTATTGAGGAAAATATATAATGCTCTCTTACCACGGGAAAATTGATGAAAATGCAGCCAAACAAACAACATTAATGTTTTGTCTGCTCTTGCGTTCACATGTTTTGTCATGTTCGTATTAGAAGACAATATGGTGAGTCTTGAGTTAGTTTTGAAGTGGATTCGGTGAGTTTTTTTTTGGTGAAAAAGGTGTTTCTTTTTTTGCTTATGTAATATTGGGTTAGGAATGGTAGCTGTATACGAAGCCCTCTTCAAGTTTGCATTTCCAATATTTCTTCACGTGAATTTCCTTAGCATCACAGTTAACTATCACTTGTTGTTCGATAAGGTTATATTATTTGTTTTATATATCTCTAATATGTCCTCTCACACGAGAATTCATTGGGTTTAAAAGGTAGATAATGCATAGGCTCATCTACCTATGTTAAGAAATTCCACAAGAGAAAGTAAGGGCGGTGAGGATCGAACTCCTGACCACTTGATCACGGAGACTCTGATATTATGTAAAGAACCAAAGGCATATGGGTTCAAAGGGTATAAAGGTTGATGAAAGAACAAAATAGAGTGAGGTACGTAGTTATGAAAAACCGAAAAGGGCATGCGATTAAGGAAATAGCATGCAGTGAGAATAACATCATCCCCGAATTTGTAGGAGACATTGCCATCAATTAATAATGCACAAGTAGTCTCAATAAGGTGACAATTCTCGCGTTCGGCTACACCATTTTGCTGGGGTGTACGAGGACAAGATTTTTGATGAATAATGCCACTAGATGGAAAGAATTGTTGAAGTTGATGAGAAAAATACTCACAAACATTATCACTACAAAAAGTACGAATAGGAAAGTCATATGCATTCAGCATATAAGGAAATCTAAGCCAAAAAGATAAAGAATGTTGCTTAAATCTTAAGCAAAAAGGGCAATAATCAATGTTGATCTGTCAAAATCTTAATCAGAGATTGCATACTGATTTTATGTTGATTTCGTAGGAAAAACAGACACACTGGAGCTAAAAAGGAAAAAGCTAAACTGAAGGCTCACGCTCATAGCGTGGGTATGACGCTCAAAGCATGAAAGGAGCTTTTCAGCCAGAGGCATCCACGCTACTAGTGTGGGATTCACGCTAGTGGCGCCAGAAATCCAATTAGGGCAGAAGCTACCACGCTACTAGCGTGGGATTGACGCTAGTAGCGCCAGACCCTCAAACAGTTCACGCTTGCAGCGTGGCAACCACGCTAGTCAAAAACTTGTTGCGTAAAATCGGCAAGTGCACCGATCGTACCAAGTAATAAAAGTGAGTAAGAATATCGTCCCACGAGGATTGAAGCACCAAATTTAATTTAACTATTCTTTTCTTATTGGATTAACAAAAAGAGGTTTTTGAAATAATTGTGTTGTGACAATTGTGAACTATTCAATATTTCGTGAACAATTCAAAAAGAAGTTTGAAAACTTAAAGTAAAAGGTTGAGATTGAGAAAAATATATAAAAAGATATTGCAGTAAAGGACTCCAACACCTTTCCGATCCCCACCTTGTAATATTGATTAATGTTTATATTTAATTACCCAATTGATCAAACAATTCACCATCTAATAATTAATTAGTTAAGCCCTAATCCCTTAGTGATCTTAACTTTATTAACCCTATTAGAATCCTAATCCCTTAGAAATCCTTTTTCAAGTTAATCCTTTTACCCAGTGAATTTTCCACGTTTGCAGTTCATGTAGCCTATCCCTAGTGCATACATTAACTGTTATTTTACCCTTTTCAGGAACTAGAATCTCAATATTCCTATTGAAAACCCTAACCCTCGCAATCCTAATAGAGTGATCAATTCTAAAAGAATTAAAAGATGAAGAACAGGATAAAATAAATGTAATTTGAAATAATTAAATATAAATTTAACCAAACTACAAGGGGTTGACATCAAGGGTTGTAACCATTACCACAATAATAAAAACTAGCAAGACATATTAATGTCTGACAATTCAAAATATTCAAAAGAATTCATAAATAAATAAAAACCAGAAAATTGGAGAAGAAGCTTGCTCTACGTTCTGCCTCCGTCAATCTCTGTGCAAAAGTTATTTTTCTCTTGAGGTCTGAGTCTCTATTTATAGAGTCTTTGACCTGGTGTAGAATCTTGATTGAATCCTTGTCGTAATCTCAGTGTGATTTGTCTCTGATTTAAAACAGATTTAATGCTGATTGACGCACCTCCCACGCCACTAGCGTGGGAGGTTTTCTTCAAAATCCTGGAGCACCACGCAACTAGCGTGGTTGCCACGCTGCAAGCGTGGACTGTTTGAGGGTCTGGCGCTACTAGCGTCAATCCCACGCTAGTAGCGTGGTAGCTTCTGCCCGAATTGGATTTCTGGCGCCACTAGCGTGAATCCCACGCTAGTAGCGTGGATGCCTTTAGCTGAAAAGCTCTTTTCATGCTTTGAGCGTCATACCCACGCTGTGAGCGTGGGCCTTCAGTTTAGCTTTTTCCTTTTTAGCTCCAGTTTGTGTGTTTTTCCTACGAAATCAACATAAAATCAGTATGCAATCTCTGATTAAGATTTTGACAGATCAACAGCGATTATTGCCTTTTTTGCTTAAGATTTAATCAACATTCTTTATCTTTTTGGCTTAGATTTCCTTATATGCTGAATGCATATCAGAAAGTAAGTTAAAAAGAGAATCTGAAACATAGAGAACATTATCCAGATATAAATTGGGGAAGAGAAGAACTATGACGAACCCATAGGATTGGACCAAAGATCCATTGGCTATGGTAATATTAGGAAAGGAACCAGTGGTACAAAGAGAGGTAAATAAGGACTTATTATAAGAAATGTGATCAGAAGCCCCAGAATCAAGAGTGCAAGGGCCTAGAGATTGTAATTGAAAGATCCCACCAAAAGGATTACCCATTAGAGCAATGGAGGCAATAGTACTAGATGATTGTTTCTCATAACACTAATTCATGAATTCATTAAGAAGAGCTACAGGAGGTTGTGCTGCAGAAGGTAACCCTGGATCAACAACACTAGATTGAGCCTGAGCAACATGAGCACTCCGAGGAGGCTGAGGTGACTTGCCATGAAGCTTCCAACAATAGTCAACAGTATGATTGGTCTAATGACAATGAGTGCAGAGTAGCCAACCCTTAGAGGGTTTAAGTCCACGACTAGAGCCCTAAGCAGCAAAGGCAGAAGAGTCAGAGGTGTCAATCGGATAGACATGGTGCATAAGAGATGTTGTTGATGCAGAGGGTTTAGGTGGAATCCTAAGCAAAGTAGACATCATAGAATATAGTGTAAGAACATTAGTAGATCCCAAAATCTGATCCTGATTGGCAGACAAATGGGAAGGTAAACCATATATAATCAATAACATAAAAAGAATACTATGTTGCTTCCACTCTTTATCAATATCACTAGTAGGGGGCAAAAGTTCATTGAGATCATGAAGCAAACTCTGAGCTTTTCCCAAGTACTCACACATAGGATAATCAAAATCACGAGGGGCAAAGATAGATATCAATTACTGACACACACCTCAGAGTCGTTGCGTGTCATTTGTGTACAAAGCCTTTGCCTGACTCCAAACAGTCTCACAAGTATCTGCATGTCGAAAAATCTGCTTAATAGAATGATGAAGAGTGGATTTGATGAGTGCACAACTAAGCATTAATCATCTTCCATCGTGTGCGCTCATCAGACGCAATAGATTCAGCCTTAGTAGTGATATGAGAAATATAATTATGCCCATCCAACCAAAGTTGGAGATCTGACGACTATGAATCATAGTTCGACCCATCCAATTTATGCACACTCAGTGGAGCAAGGATATAATTGATAAAAACAGTAGACTCTGACTTAGAGCCAGTCGAAGTCCTGGAAACAAAAGAGGTAGGAGAATCCATAATTATCCAAATAAAAAGAGAACAAAAAACCAGAAACGTCAGATCACAAAACTGACCGGAAGGAGTGAGATTTGTGTGTCGCCAAAAAAATGTCGAAACACCAAAACAAGACCAAGTCCAAAATCATCTCGGAGAGAGGAGAAGAACGCAACCGATCACCGCCGGAAAAGCTCCTCTAAGCACTGCCATGTGCCGGTTGATTGAAAGGAGGCACATTTCTTCCACACACATGTGAGGGTGGGTGCATGATGGGATCAAGAAGAAACTTGGACGGACAGGATCACGCGAAAGGGACGATCACAACGATGTATTGGTCGCCTGGAAATGTCATCAAAAAAGCATAGTCCA